TTTCGTTCGGGTTTTTTTTTTTTTTTGATCGCGCGGCACAACCGTACGTGCGCGCGCGTACCGTTGTGTACCGCATCAGCTGATTGGGCAAACCGTTGCGTAACGCGCGTAATCGCAAGGCGATGTGTCGTTTGTGCGATGCCGCGCGCGGGGAGACGACGACGGCACGAGCTCCGGTGTCGGAGGTTGATCGGGTCGAGCCCGAGGTGATCACGCGCGTTGGGTGACGGCGTCTGCTCAGAGATGGGTCCGCCGCGGTTTAGCGTCGACACGCATCTACCTGCACACGGTACGTACGTGGTGCGCAATGCATTCTCGTGGTCGTTTGCGCTTGCGACGACGAGCTCTATGGACGAGTTCCGGAACGGACAGCGCGGTACGGAATTCGAGTTTCTTTTCGTTTCGTTTTGACGGGCGATTCGAGGGATAGAAAAGTCCTGAACGTTTTACGATTCGGGCTTTTTTTTTTCACACCTCGACCGCAAATGATTGCTCTTCCGCCCCGGCCGACGATAATATTTCGTTTTAACGATAGCATTAGCCGTGGAAAAAAATATAGTATACTTCTTCAAAGGTTACGTGAAAAAAAAAAACCACTTTCCTATCAAGCAGGGACATCTCGCATTTCAAGTGTTTTACGATTGTTCGAGCGCTTGAGCAACTAAATCGTTATACTTAACGAGGTCGCATTAGAGATACGCGTCATGAAATGTTTTGTTTTTATTGTTTAAAAGTTGTTTAATGCGTTATCTAAAAGCTCTAGAAAAACTAAAAGTCAATAAGCTAATAGTTTCTATACTAATATAATTTGTAAATGATTTACTGCGGATTCAATTATACGTTTTGGATAAAACATAAAATTGGTGAAATAATTTTTTCAAACTGGTTTAAAAAATATTAAGCTTACGTTCAATCGGTGTGTTTATATATTTTTGTCAAGTCTATCAAGGAATGTAAATGTGTTTCCCTACGCAATAACCTCTCTTAGAATACGTTCCTGATCGTATGTACAAGTAGAGTGCGATTGCTGAACGAATACTCGATATAAGACGTGCGTCTGAACGAAGCATTTACTTTTTTGTAATTAAGAACGTACGTATGCACTAAATAACACTCAATTATAGTTGTTTAATCTGATCAGTATATAATGTCTTTCGTTTTTCTTATCGTGTAGCTGACAAGCCTTAATGATTACTACACGGTTCATTCATTCCAAAACGGATAATAATGCGATGCGATTTATGGCGACAGCGTGTATTCGGAGAGATGTCGCGGAAAAATTTGTAACATTCTATAATGAAAGTACTATTATGTACTTATAATGTATTCGGAATAGTTGTTATGTTTACGATTATAATTTAGTCGAAACGTACTGTATATCATCCGTGTGGTTGTATAAAAGTTAAAATATATTTTTAATATTATAACCGATTTTAAAAGTCAAAGGTTAAGGTTTTTATTTTATTTTATAAGTATAGCAGCATAATCGCGATATATTATACAATACGAGTAAAGCAAGTACAGCAATTTAGTCGTGTTTTTGGAAAAACAACCAGTGTCTTTTGATGATTATCTCGTAGGACATCGTCCTTGGATGATATGAATTATCCTATACTAAAATGTCCTTGCGAATGAGAAGAATCACGTTCGTCTAATTATAACTGTATATATTCCATGCCTGGAGCTTTTTTAAGTTGAATAATAAAATAATATTGATCCGGTGAAATTGTTTTCTTTAAATTTCTCTTCAAATCCCGAGTCAGTACTTCAATTTCATCTACCTTGGTTTATATTATTATTGTGTTCTTACTTCCATGTAAGGGCTTATTTAGCTGTTTGATAAAAAATGCTCCTTTTTTATCGATAGGATTTTTTTTCTTACAATATGCCCTTTATATTATTCGACCTCAAACACATAAATAATTTTATAACTGACATCTCGTGATATATGTCATTGTTATAAATGTTCTTTGTTGTAAAAAAAATGTCTGTATTGAAAAATATTGTACATTGCATAATTTTGAATTTTAATGTTTATAACAGTGATAGGTTGATTTATAATAAAACTGAAATTCGTTTTATTATGTACTTTTTATTTTTAAATTAAATAAATATTATTAAAAATAAAATATTTACATTTAAATTTAAATTCGCGATCGAAAGTCATGGATACAAGTTAACATTAAAGCAGAGACTTAAATGTCCTAAAAATGCATTTATTACAATACAATTATTAAATGTATCTATGAAGTTTAAAAATCTAATTGGACCACAAAATTCATTTTTGAAAATTTGAAATAATATTAAAATCAATAATTTTTAAATAATTTTCGATCATTAAAATACAATTAAATAACAAATTATAAATTAACAGTACGACAATCAATTCTGAAGATTCATTTCAATTATTCAATTCCAAGCAAAGTTTATTAATTATAAAATAATATTATTAAAGAATGCTCGTAAAAATAAAAAAATAAATACTTGATATAAAAAATATCGTTAAAAAAAAAAATTAAAAATATCAAATTAAAGTATAAAATATTTTTTAAATTCTTTCATGTACAAAAGAAACTCTAGAATAAATTAAAAGCAATGTTTTGCAAAATATTGCAATTTTCAAGGTTCCTATATAATATTTATTTTAATTAATTATTATATTATTATTGATTTCCAATTTAAAGTTGAAACCATTCACTTTTATTTTAAAATAAGAAAATATAAATTTTATTGATTATTTCAAAGTACTTAATAGTCAAGTCGTTGATTTTTTTTAAATAAATATGAAACCAATAATAAAATTTAATTTTATCTAATTTTATTGGAAATGAATCTTCTACTATATTGAGCAATTTCCTTACAAAGATATCTAGTGTAGGTATTTGAAATATTTTGTTGGTATAATTTTCATAGGTTTCACAATATTTAGTGATATCAGAGATAGTGCTCCTATTTTAACATTTTATCGAGCAATATCTTATGACTATTCAGTTAAAACGTGTTTTATTTTATTTAGAAATTAATTTAAAAAAAAAGTATTATTCTTAGTATTTGATATGTCTTTGTTTTTCTTATTATTTAAATAGTTAACCATATTTTAGATAAATAACGAATGTTATTTTTGAAATTAATGTACTTATAGAAAAAAGGCCAACAAATGTTGTAACAACTGCAGGTACAGTTCGTAATTCGTTTTGTTTTTGTGGGGAAAGGAATTTGAACCCAAACAATGTTAGCTCGTGTTTTATCATGAAGTTATTAACCTCAGTACTTTTATGAATACAAATATTAGCCTGTGTCTAGTGCAATTTATAATATGAAAGAAGTAAATTACCACAGTTAACTATAATGGATAGTTTGTATTGTTTGCGACTCCCACGAAACACCACCAAGTGTTAATCATGCGGTTCATGATGTTTCAGAAGTCCAATTTCAAATGTAATGTGCTATTATAAACTTCCTACGCAATATTAAGAAACTACCATCATATGTTTATATTTATATATCTGATGCTCAGTGATCATAATATGAGGCTGTAGAGAATAATCGTACGCGGATTCTTTGTGAAATGTCAAACAATATTGCGATGATTACTGTCAGTGCGTAGCTGCTGCTGCAAACATTCGTTCGAACAACGTCCGAACGTGTTATTTGCATATAGAATAAAATAAAAATATTTAAGTCCACGTGCAAGTGCGCGCGCCACCCGGACGGGATGCAAACACCGCGATCGAGAATTGATGGATGTGCACGGCAGATGAACCCAATGTAACGTGCTGGATGTGAAAGTTTTATTAATCGAAAAACGCGAGTTCACGGTGAGCACAATGTTGGCGGCGGCGCTGTGTGGACAACAAATTATTGCAAATGCACAATCGGATCAATAAGCGGTGGTTGTGAGTAGATCGCAAAAATACGAAACAGAATCCGAAGGGGGAAGAAAAAAAAAAACTTTTTTTAGAGGACGCCAAAGCGTGTCGTCATGACATCATCGGGAGCATATTATCTATGTACGCGTAACGGTCGGATCCCATAACGGTCGTCGATTAACTGTTGCAGCACAGGCAACGATGGTAGGCTATGTAACTGCACGAAACGTGAACGTGCGTGTAAGTCGAGGAACGAGGAAGAGTGCGTTACGGTATTATTATCTGTACAAGTTGCGGAGAGCGCGTGAGCAATAGCCGTGTGTTATATAGGGTGTCTCAAAAATAACGAAGGATTTAAATCTGCTATGAATTAAATTAATTAATTTAAAAAAAAAAATAAAATATATGTCATTCTCTTAAGGAGAAGGTAAGGTTCAATAGTAAAAAATAATATCGGGCATATGACCCTTCCTACTAGCCCTACAAGCGATCATTCTTTCAATAAAATTAACCATCACTTGTCACACATTGCCCCATCAAGTTCTTTGAGGATACGAAGAATTTCTTGCTTAAGTTCCAAGATATTTCGACTTTTTCAGATTTTTTTGTCTAGGAACTTCTCAACAACCAGAATGATTGTTTCTCTTGAAGTGTGACAATTTGAAATCAATTTTTTGATGTTCATTTGATCCAAATAAGGTCAAAGAAAATTACTGAGCTCAGTAGGTATTCTTGTATGGTTACAATAAGACGGCGCAACTTTTTAAACTTCAAGAGAAATAATCCCTCGGCTGCGTGAGAAGTTCCCGGACGGACTAATCTCGTTGCGTGGTCAAAGCTACCCACCTCAATCTTTCTCCAATAGTTAATGATATAATTGTTATGTTTTTAAAAAGAATTTAAATCCTGTGTTATTTCTGAAACACCCTACATATTAAACGCGTACGGTCGGACCAGTCAGGAATGGGGTGGCGTTGGCGAAGACTTCGGGTCCGCCGTATAAGTTTTATCGAACCTTGCGAACAAAGAAAGATTGTATAAAACGAAAAAAAAAAAATAAGCCGATCTCCGACGGAGCCGTTTCGCGGCGTACACTTCGTGTAAATAAAATATATATGTTTTTCCACTGACCTGCACATGTGACCGAAGTGGCCGCAATCGCCGTGATGGCGACGATTACGCGAAACATAATAACTGCCGCAGAGTGATTCGAAATATCGGTTCGGGCGACAAAAACGCACTGCGGCTGCGCTCCTCGGGATTATTATTGCGATCGTCTGGGGCCCACGTTGCCGCGCGTAGCTGCGACGCGGACGAGGTGGCGAAACAAGAGGAGAGGGGGATCCATACCACCAGCTACGGCCGCATAACATAACATTATACACATCGAAAGTTGCATAACGCGAGATGTTCCGAACAACATTCTTCCATCCAGCCGCCGCCTAACATAATAATAATAATAATAATAATAGCAGTAGTAGTTATTGTTTAGCGGTAGTAATATTTAATATTGCAACGCGTACATATACTAGTGTCATCCGTAGCGGTCGTGCAAGACGTTTAATGCCAAACGTAGAATGCTTACCTTGGTTCAAATACGAAAACCTTCCAAACCAGTTCAAATCGAATGCATCGATCATTTATTTTGTTAAATACTCGGAATATTATTGAACATTTGTTTCGAATAATCATTATTCGCCCTGGTACGCGCGTGGGTTTTTGGAATACGTCGGTTTTCTGTTGCCCCGTAGTTCGGGTGAGTGATTTTCAACTCATTTTGTTACTCCTTACTTCTAGATATCCACGTGCGAATCGCGCATCCACGTAGATGTATAGCTTTATTTTTTTCATTTAGCTCTCAACACAAAGTTATTACACCTCAATCATTAAATCATACGCATAAGATAACCAAATATGCATTATAACATCAGTACACATTGAATAAAATAAAATAATATTAGTAATACGTATAGGTAGAGATAATAATAAAATAATATTTAATTACATATGGGTCGAAGACATATTACTATTCACAAGTAACAGATAACTTATTCAGTGATTTAAGACGCGATAATTTAAATTAAAGGTATATGTTCATATATTTAAATGCTCTTGAATTTGGCTAAATACTAAGCAAATTACTTTTACATAGGACAGTGGTGGCCAAACTACGGCCCGCGGGCCAACTCCGGCCCGCCATAATTTAATATCTGGCCCGCGAAAGTCTTCTATATTACAGCACTTATTTGTATAACTGTAATATTTTGCATTTACGTAAAAAAAAATTGAAAATTCATTTTTTTATGGCCCATGGTAAAAAAAAGTTGTTTTTTATGGCTCGAGGTAAAAAAAGTTTGGCCATCACTGACATAGGAGGATCGGAGAGCCATCTTTTTCTATAGCAATTGTACGAAAATTATTATCGTTGCGTTGGAGGCAGAGATTTTTGATTTTTCAGTTTTTTTCTCCGTCGGTTTTAGTGTAATCTTTTCCGCTTCGTTTACATCGGTTTCTATCGTATCGGTTATTCAGTCGTTTGCGGGAAGATGTCGACGACGACCCGTTGTCGTCAAGGCAAGGTCGACGACAACCACACGTTTGTTGGCTGTAGACACGGCTATACGACGCGGCGGCACATAACATAATACTATAGTATACATAATATTAGTATAATGTACAGGGTGATAGTTTAAAACTTGTTCAGACCATTTTCATGTTTTACGTAAACGTTTGATGTACGCGCTAAACGGATTACTCCAATACGTGTTTTCACTTGTATATTTTTAAATGTTATACATTTTCTTACTTCATATCAACTGTATAGCAGGATATTTCACTAAGAATTTTACTCCACGAATAGTGACTGTTGAACTAATATTGTTTAAAGTTCATTGGATAAGAAACGGAGTATCATTGGAGTTTCTGCCAAGTTGTACATTTTAAAAGAGCAATAATCTGCATATGTATATATGTTTTATTAAATTTAATTAAACGATACTGGTTTTATAATCAATATTTGCTCGTGAAATCTGTAGAAAAATACTCGCTGTACACATTAAAATCGAAGTAGTTGCATTTTAAAACACATAGACCAACCGACAATGTAAAAATGTAAAAAACCACATTGTAAATACCAGTTATATTTTATATAATCAATCGCGGAATTATAGAACGTGTGTACAGGTTGCATGCAATACGTTATTTAAAACGAATGTGTTTATTTTTTTTTGTTTCAAAAATGTGATTGGGAGATTATAATTCCTAACCAGTTGCTGCCGCACTTCGGAAGTTTCGACACGAGGTCATTGTCGACTGATCTCTTCTTCTGCTCCGGTCCAGAGACGTGTGCGCGCGTTAAATTATTAATCTTAAACGGCAATGTCGTGTGTAGTTGGTATATGCCGTCATCGATACGTGTTAATTAATCGTCACACGATGTATACATGCAATTTGTTCGTATTACTAGGTTCTTTTTTTTTAAAGATTATTTTATTTTGGTTCTCTTGTCATTACCATTCGTCTTGTACTCATTTTTTTTTTCTGATATAGTTTTGGACGTTTTGGCGACTTGCTGAAAAATCATGTCGTAATTCACTACTCATTGCATTTAGTCAAACGAATTTATATTAATAAAATATCAACTGTCAATATGATCACCAATTTTAGAGAAATAATGCATTTCCAAAGTTTAACGTGATTTCAAAATACCAACAAACATAATATGTGTTAAGAGTATGTACTAAGTTACATAACCACATAACAAATAAACACTATGGCTGAATAATTCAAAACTCAAAGTTGTTCTACTGTACATGAAAAATTGATTTTATTATAATAAATATTACTGCTTTAATATATTACATATCAGCTAAATTTCTACAAAAGAACAAACTAACATAAAGGCGACAATATTGAGTCTGATTTGTAAAAATGTAGTTTACCATTTTCAGATTTTCTTAAAAACCTATTTTTTCTACTTCATTTTATTTTTATTTTATTTTTAAGCAAACCTACACTGTATACGTTATTTATGTGAATTTATCGTATATATACATATATATAATGATAGGCAAAGGTCTACACATCATTTATTTAAAAATAACATTTTAAATTCGGATAGGTATACTGTATAAATTTCGCATAGCCTCTACACAAATTTTACATTTGAAAGAGGTTATTATACATAATTTCATGAAGAGTAGCTCATGTATTGATTTATATTTTATTGGTGGAATTTCAACAATCTTAAAAAAAAATTTTAGTTTTTAAAATTTGATTATACAAGTTTTTTTATAAATAATATTTATTATAAAAAATCAAAATTATTTTCATAAGAGGTTCATAAGAAGTTGAAAATTTGTCATTTTTTTACATTTTTAAAATAATAATTCAATATTGGTTTGAGGTGAGAAAATCAAAATAAGTGTTAAAATAAAGATTAATGGTTTACGAAAAAAAATAAATAGTGTGTTATTTTCATTAGAGTTTTAATAAAAATGTTATTGGAAATAGAAGATTTTAACGAGTATTTAGAACTTATTATTCATATTAGCAAGTTTCAAGTTTAAACGGCTAGGTTTAAAGTATGTGTAGCATATTTGGTACTTATTGGTTATTATTATATAAACAATAAACTATATAGTTTTTATTAATCATTAATCATTTTAAATTAAATAATTTTTTAGTTTGGAGTAATGAATATTGACTTAATTATATAGAGTGATTATTTTTTCTAATTAATAATTTTAAAATGACACAAAAATATTTTTGGAAAAAATCATGTATTGTTTTCACATAATTTATCATTTACTATATTTATTTTATACTATTTAAATTATATTTCTGATTGATTTAATTCAGTATACAGTTTTCTTATAATTTTTTTTGCTTCTAATTTTCCATAGCACATACAGCTATTATCGTAATTAATATTCAACGTCCGCGTTCAAACAATATTTTGTAGCCGTAAAAATTCGACTAAACAGTAATGCGTTTTTATTTATTTCTATGAAAATGAATTGAACTTTAAATTATATGGTTGTCGTCATTATCGCATATTCAACACATAACCTTTACAGCATAGATAGTAGTTCATCGACTACAAATACAGCACGTTTTATACTCGTAAAATTATGTATTAAAATTGATTTCTATACATAAAACTTGTGAATTGACGTAATTTTACAATGTATCCTGACAAGGAAATATTGCGTCATAAATAAATGTACATAGGTACTTCGATGCGGTCCTATCTCGAGAGTTATACATAAAATGGCATATACCTAAAAAATAAATTATACATAAATGTCAAAAACTACTGTCTACGATTCTACTAGTATTTATTAGATGTGTATACGATGTTTGATGGCTACGTGAAACTGTGAATTACATTTCCGTTGTTTGAAAAAGTAAACATGCGATAAACACGAATTATATTCATTGTATGGCTTGTATGTTTCTTGATCGAACTGTAATAACACAAGTCAATTTTTTTTATTTTTTTGCTAGTTGTATATTAATAAAAAGAAAAAGTATCTTTCAATGAAACGGACAATTATAAAATTCATAAAATTAAACTTTATTTTTAGATTTCATCATAATGCAATATTTTGTTTTTCATTTGAATTAAAATAAATATTTTATTCATAATTATTATGAATAATGTGCACTAGACGTATTCAAAATAGTGTTAGTTACATTACTTTGTGAGATATTGAAAGTTTAAAAAAAATTATTAATTTTGATGCATTTGATATTTTTTCGGCCAATGAATTTTAACCATAACATTCAGTAGATAGCAAAAAAAAATATGGTTTCATTCTAATTTTCTTTAAAATAATCAGAAAAGTAATTATTCTATGATAAAATATCATTACATTAATACTTTCTAAGATCATTTACGTCACTATAACTAACCAATGCAATGATGTTACTTTGTTCAAGTACGAATAGGTTATTGGTCAATTGAAAGACTAACGAATATTTGCTAAATATTTATCATATGATTTCTATGGTTTTTGGTTAAAAATTAATAACTGTTATAAAAAATATTGCTTTGAAAAAAATAAATATCTGATCAAATTAAACATTTTGTCATTTCGATATTATTGAAACGTACCAATCTTACGAATTATGTAATATGTAATAGCTATATAAAATAAATTACTTGTAATATTACTTGTACCCGTACATTTGAAAAAAGTTGTCATTTTTTTTTTTTTAATATTATTACCACACAAGTCAAACTAGAATATTAAATATGTAGACCTACATGAAAT